TGAAATTAAATAAAATTTAAAAAAATTAAATAAATAAAACATCAATAAAAAATTAAATAAAATTATTTTATTTTTAAATTGAGACATTTAAATTTTATTGAATTTTATTAAATATAATACATAATTAAATAGTAGAGGGTCAAAATGGTCATTTTCACATCTAATCCCAACAGTGAATAGTCCCCACATTCTATCCCACCCCCCAGGACACAATAGTCCCCCATATGGGGGACATGGAGTCCGGCCGGACTCCATGTTCGGCGGACTAAAAAAAAATCAAACGGCGAATAAGATCCAAATAGTGGATAGTCCCCCCTCCAATCCCCCCAATCAAACACGCCATTTGAGTATTTTATTTTCTAAAAAAAATTACTTTATCGCTTGATGTGATCATATTTATATTTACGATAAGTATAATTTTTAAAATATATTATTTGTAAAAATATAATATGATCAAATAATTATTGATATTCAATCAAAATAATTTTTAGTAGTAATAGAGACCTCATAAAATATAATTTCATAATTTTTAAAATGATCTTAACCATCCATAACACTATCAAATATAGCCTCCATTTGGAAAGTGGGTTGGTTTTTTGGCTTTTTTGGCTATTTTAGCCTGACCTTAAAAGCTTGGTTTGGGAAGGGCTTTTTGGCTTTTTTGAGTTTTTTTGTGAGAGAAGAATGTAATGATTATAGGTTGAATGTGATGTTTTGTTTGTTATGACTAAAATAACATATTTTGTTTTTTATGACTAAAATAACCAAAAAAACCTGTAAACCCACTTGCCAAACACAGGCATAATCTCTTAAAAAAAATTAAGCAGACCAGTAATTAATACATCAGTAAAGATTGAAAGCCCTCCTCCTTTGTGAGAGTCTTACACAAAGACAAAAGTCTAATAACACCCTGCAAGGGCCTCTCATCAGAAAGAAATTGGTTTGGATGGTTGGTTATTGTCATATGAAAAGTGTGGACCCCAGTGACCAGTAATCACGGAAAAACTCTCAGCCGCTGCACCCAAAACACAAACAGAGGCAGGCATTGCAAATTTGCAACAACAATTCCTAACTCAAAAGCTGTAAATGCAGACAAACTGCCAAATGTTTCATCACAATTAGCCCCCGAATTCACTCGCATTCATCAGAGAACCCTAGCTTTGCTTCAATCAGATCACCTCGAAACTCTCCAGTCTCATTCTCTCTCTCGAACGCTTCTCAATCTCGATTTCTTTGATCCAGGACGAGCTAAACGGAGGTTTTCTTCAATCCTCGTAAGTGATCTGCCATCGCTCTCTCTCTCTCTTTCTCTCTCTCTCTCTCTCTCTCTCTATATATATATATATATATATTTTTTTTCAATTCGCAATGCAATTTTTGATTGATTTGATCTTTAAATTCATGCGATTGTGCTAGATCTCACCGCCATTTACATTTGCAAGAACACTCGTTATCGTAATTGTATCTAATTCCAAATGCATAACTCAGCATTTCTCAAATGCATTGACATTGTAAGTGTATTGTTTATTGTCAAACAAATTAGGTCTTTTTTGTCAGGCTATGGTGTGCATTGTGGAAAAAACAACGTCCACTGAAGATATTGATTCAGAATACTCAGCGCCTACAAGGCTGTACATTATTTATTTCTTTCTTTCGGTGTTAATGGATTTTGGAATGTTGTTATTATTATTCATGAACTGTGGCAATTTATGACATGGTATTTAAAGAAAAAGAACAAGTTGGAGATATAGGAGCAATAGACCAATGCATGCCCTTTTAAATGTACTAACGAAAATATGAAACTGAAGTTAACACAAGGTGTAGCATTGTCAATAGCACATGATTAAATCACGTAACTGAACATATTTATGCTGTGTTTGCTTAGGGGATTTGAAGAGGGATTTGGAAAGGGAAATGGAAAAGGTAGGTGAAATGAGAGTAAAATATGTCTAAATTTCACATAGTTTCACATACTTTTTCCCTTTCTCTTTCCAAATCTCTCCCCAAATCCTCCAACCAAACACATCATTAAACTAGCATGTAGTTGGATTCTTTTCAAAGGATGTGCAATCAATTTTATGGCGCATGACACGAGACACAAAAACGACATGATATGTACACGTTGAAATGGAAACTTTTAAAAAAGTCAAGATGATGACACAACACAGCAATAATAATATTTTTTTTAACGATTGTGTTTGGATCATAGATTTGAGGAGGGATTTGCGAAGGGAAGGGAAAAGTCATAAAATAACTATTGTTTTTTTCAGTTTTTAACATTACAAATACATTTACATCCTATTATATCAAAATAGTAAGAAATCATTTTCCATATTCTACATATTAAAAAAGAAGTATGATTGGAAGGTTTGGGCTTTAGAATTCTTAAATTTAAAAGTACAAATAAGGAGGGATTAATTGGTATAAATTCACATTGTTTTTATTTAATAAGTAAATCACAACTTTGCTAGATATTTTCTTCAAACTTGCAATGTGGTTTATGTGCACTCAAGTGGTGAACGCATATGGCCCCCAAGTGTCCAAAACATGTCCGGTTCTACAAAAATTTAAAAATAATAGGACATGTTTGGATGTCTACATACTGTTAGGCCATGTTTGTTTAGGTGGACATGAGCTTGGGATTGGACTAATAGTCCAATAAAATTATTAATCCAATGTTTGGTTAAACAATTGAAGTACGGATTAATTATTTTAAACTTGACTATTAGTTAAGATAGGATACATAATCCAACAAATTTGTAGTCCTAGGACTATTAGTCATGGGAATGTTAATCCAGTCCGTCCAAACAAACATGGCCTTAATGTTGGAGTGTCTCGGACAAGGCACCTTCGTAGAAGTATGTGATTCTTAGATACTCACTCTGCATCACCAACACACGAAAAATGATGTTAAATAAAATGTTATTGAATACATTTGCTTTATTATATTGGGTTTAAAGACCTTGTATCTGCTTTGTTTGCATTATGATTGTGCTTTTATTTTATTGTTGATTCTAAATGTGCTGTTCTATGTAGAACTCCTGCTTGGACTGTTGAGAAAAGGCGACCTATAATTTTGTTACTTGGGGCATGCAATAATATCAACCACTAAACTTGCATTCTATGTAATGGCGATCAATGCAGATCTCATAAATAATCTTCTACATGAAACATGTAGTTCTTATTTTTACTGAACCAGGTGTAACATGTGTAGTTCTTCTATGTTTAGTTTTAATTTATACTTCAAGTGGACTTCTAGTTCCTACTTGAGCACAGTGATCTGTTTTCCTGCTGTTTAATTGGGCCTCATATTTGGACCAATTTTCAGACCACATATGTTTTGTTAGAAGAATGAATTCAGAAATTGCTGATTCATCATCTCTGCATCCTGGTAAAGCCTCTGGTGATAAAGCTTCTGCTCCAGCCGTCTCTGGGAAAGATAGTTCTGCAGATGGCTCATCTTCTAGGCTATCTACTTCTGGCATTTCATCTTGGGCCAAAAATATTAAACTTCCACAGCCAGGGCAAGGGGATTCACAGACTGGAAATGCTGCGAAGTCTACCTTTGCTCGTCTCGCCGGTAGCATGGGATTGCATTTGCCTGCAAAAGCTTCTGGGAAAAGTGAGGGAGCTGAAGGCACCTCAACAACTGCACAATCAAGTGTTCTAGAATCATTGACGAAAGGTTTTGTTGACTCCTCTCTTAGTGCAGTGAAAGCGGTCCAAGTTAAGGCACGCCATATTGTCTCTCAAAACAAAAGGAGATATCAGGTAGCTTACTAATGACACTAATGCTGAGATTATAAAATATTTTTTCTGAACTTCAGTTAAGATTTTTTATTAATAAAATTACTCTTCCTGTTTCATATGTGCCCATGAACTGTTCAGGTATTCATCACCAGTCACCTTGTTCGAATAGTTGTCTGTAATCCATGCTTAATATTTTGTGTTATTCACATGGTAATTGTATCTTTATTTGTGTATATATGTATATATAATGATGGGAACTTGTCTTGGATCTTACTGTTGGCTTTACCTTGTTTTGATCTATAAACAAATTAGTTGATTGAAAAACTACTTCCAACTGAAATGTTACAAAAAAAAAAATATGTGATCCTTTAACCCAAAAGAACTATTATATTTTTTGAAATTGTTTCTAATGAAGTAATTTCTCGTGTCATTGTCAGTAATAATCCTGCTTTGCCAGCATATGACTGTCAAAATAAATTACCCTTTCAAGTGATGAAACAACTCTAGCATCCTGCATTCCATCATCTTGGTTGGCTAGATACTTGATAGGTAAATATGGAATTACCCCAACAGCCCTGCAAGCCTACACGATCTATCTTGGGCAAAATTAATCCTTACAATGGAACTCTTGTTTAAATTGACCTCAAGACTGGACAACACTTCAAAAATTCTCAATACAGAAATAAAGTAAATGTAGCATTTACTCATCTTAAGCTACAGTACAGTTTGTTATCTTTAAGCAACAGTAAGCTAAGATTTTGACCTTAGTAAGCAAAGCTTTACAAGCATTTTAAAGATATTAGCTTTACAACAAGCCAATATTTTTGACATGATGGCTATTTAATATGCTTAGAAATAGATGCGATCTTTCATTGTTGCTGGCTTGATACATTACATTTTTGGGTATTAAGATGTCACAGATTGATTCTATCCACAAATTATATGGCATACTTCAAAATTTTCAATTCTGAAGATTTTAAGTTCTTTGTTTTTTTAATGGTGTTCCGTCACTTTTGTGTAATCAAATAGCATTATAATATTAAAGTTAATCATTTCATGCATTTTCTCAATGGTCTATATTACTTCTTTGCTTAATATAACTCCTTTTCAATTAAGATGTCACTGATGAGATCCAACTTGATAATGCCCTGGTTTTCAGGAAGGAGGATTTGATCTAGATATGACTTATATAACTGAGAATATAATTGCTATGGGATTTCCTGCTGGTGATATGAGCTCTGGATTTTTTGGATTTGTTGAGGTAAACGAAACAATATGGCTCATGTCAGATTTAATCTGATTATTGACAAGTATATAAATTTATATTAATACTATCTTAGAAATTTGATGTAGGGTTTCTATCGCAATCACATGGAAGAAGTGATCAAGTTTTTTGAAACTCATCATAAGGTAAACATCTAATTTTGAATTCAAAAGTAGTACGTTTTGACATTATTTGACTTTGGGTTAGGATTCTTGTGACAATTATAGAAGGGCTGTTTGTGACCAAGGGTGTTTTTCAAGTTTATAATATTGTTATGGATATGGTCCTGAATTTCTTGGATGGATCTGTGGTTTTATTGCATTTGGTATTTTTGAGCTTTCTACTTCCTCAGCCTGCTGCTACATGATGTCATGGTCAATACGCCTTTCTATCTTCAGTGGATAATGCCATTCGAATGAATGCGCTTTTTGATGTTTGTGGGCTCGTTTTCACTGCATATATCATTTGTTATTTACTCGGAATTCCTGATATCTACAATTAACCTTTTATATGCAGGGAAAATACAAAGTATACAATCTTTGTTCGGAGAGATTGTACGATGCTTCATTATTTGAAGGGAAGGTACGATTTTCACCATCATTTATCTTTTGAGCATTTTCACTGTATTCAAAACTAATTGTAACCTTAACTAAATAAATAGCAATAGTGGTGAATAACAATGCGTAGTTGCTTCATTTTTTTTATTCATTATCAGTAAGCTGGTCTCATTGCTCCTAATCAGACCAAGTTCTGAATTGTCTTGAATACTGATCTGATTATGTTGCAGCTTGTTATCTTGTACAGTGCACATTAAATTTCTTTTTGAAGTATTTGTATCAAGTTTTCCAATTCCATAAGAAGTGTTTGATTCCCTTCTTTTATATATATATATATATATTAGAAATTGCCCGTGCCTGAAGGCACTATCTAATAAAATTCTTATATTACAATCTATGTGTTGCAAAAATGTTAACGACCATAAAAATATTTTATGAAAAGTGTCTCAAAATTGTGATCAAACAACCAAAAATATTTAGGATCAATCAATCAACCAACAAAGGCTAGATGATTTTTCGTAAAATTTTTAAGAGAAATTATGTAGCATACCCAAACAAACATAGCCCTAAATAGTATATCAAAAAACCATAGAAAGACCACTACATGAAACTTTTGATTGGTTCAAGATAACCTGTGAAAATACAACAAAGAATCAAATCAAAAGTTACATTGATCACAAATTGTTCTAGGACCATCTCGGATGAAACAAACATAAATTTTTAGTAATCACTATTAAACTAAAAATAAAACGATCAAATTTAGATGAGTAAACCAAACCACAAAATAGTGCCATTTGTAGACCTCAAGTACCATCAACACCAACCTTGAGGAAAAAAACAAAAAAGGAATTAGTAAAATCCCTTAACCGAAAAATAACCAAATAACAAAGAATTAGTAACAAAAATAATAATCCTACATATGTCATTATCCACTATCTAACAAAATTTTAACAAAGATATTCTCATGGACCCAGTAAACATAGCTAGGTGAATGGAAGCATAAACACGGGAGAAACAGAATTCCTCCACCCCTTTATGGTTAGATGTACTCATTACACAGTGTAAAAAAAAAAGAAACAAAAAACAAAGTATTAAATAACATATGGTAGATAAAGATAATGAAACATATGATACAGTGTGCTTACTTTATGGATGTTACTCCTCTATGACCTGAACATTAAAAAAAAAAAAAAAAAAAAAAAAAAAAAAAAAAAAAAAAAAAAAAAAAAAAAAACACAACAAAACAAAAAACAAACAAAAAAAGAATAATGAGCAAAACAATCAATAAATAGCATGGAATTTACATTAAAAAGGTAAACGAAAAAATAAATTGAAAGAAAAATCAACTGACCACAAAATTATCAAAAGTTTGTTTTTGTGTTGGTGTATGTGAGTGAAAATAAACCAGGGGAAAAAAAAAAAAAACAAAGAAACAGGGAATTCCAAAATGAGAGAAGAGAGGTACTTCTGAGACTCATAGGTAGTAGGATTGAGCTTCAAAATCTTCCTTGGGAGCTTTTCTTTATCAACTGATGATGAAAACAAATTCACATCAAGTAAATACATGGTTATTCAAATAATAGCAAACAAATAAATACCAAAAAAATAAATTGTTAGGCAAAAAAATAAACAATTGACCACAACTTAGAGCACAATTGTTTGGATAAATATGGGGAAAAACCCTTTTCTTGAAAAATTAAATTAAATATAATGGGCATAGGCATGGGTCTTTTTTTTTAAATTAAGAATTATAAACAGAGTTAATATACCTTCATTGTTGTTGGATAGAGATAGAGATTCCTTTCTACAGATATTGGCTTGAGAGAGAGAGGGGAGGTAACCGTATGTACATATGTATGAGGGTGATGTAAAATTTTCAATGCTATCTATAGCAGACAAAACCTTCCCCAAATTCATGTCAATGTCAATAGCAATAGCAATAACAAAACCCATCTAGTAAACAAAACCCATCTAGTACTGTAAAACCATCTAGTAAACAAAACTCAAGTCAATAACAAAACCCACCTTCACCAAAGATGTAGAAATCAATAGCAATAACAACTAAGTCAAACAATACTAAATATTAGCACCAATTTACAAAACTCATCCATGTCATAATGGGTATAATTAACCACTAATTAGGGAAAGATCCATCTAAAATGTTCAGAAATCTTTGGGTTCATAAAATCTGATTATCAAGTAAGTACTCTTCTTTGATTAATCAAAAGTTTATGAACTTCAAATACGCTCAACTGCTCTTACCATACAAACCAACCCAATTCAAAAACTCACTTTACATATAAAATCTCTCTCTCTCTCTCTCTCTCTCTCTCTCTCTCCACCATATTCTTATATTTGTATGTGTAGATGAATGCATGTACATACGTACATATGTATGAGGGTGATGTACAATTTTCAATGCTATCTATCCCAGATGTAGAAATAGAAATCAATAGAAATTCTAAGATGTAGAGATCAATTGTAGACAAAACCTTAACCAAACTCAAGTCTATAGCAATAACAATAGCAATAACAAAACCCATCTAGTAAACAAAACTCAAGTCAATAACAAAACCCACATTCACCAAAGATGTAGAAATCAATAGCAATAACAACTCAAGTCAAACACTTCACCAGAAACGCATCTAGAATTTCAAACATTTCCTTAATTCTCTAGCAGACAAAACCCATCTAGAATTTCAAACATTTCAAACACATCTAGTACTGTAACATTTCAAAACAAACATGATGAATAAATTACCATCAACCAAATGAACACAACAATCAAATTCAAAATCCATAATAAATAACCCAATTGAACCAATTAAAAAAGATGAATCTTCACCATTAATCAATAAAAAGTATGATGAATCTGCAACAAAATTCAGTGAAACAAAAAAATCCAGAACTTACAAGACATGAGATAAGACAACATTTCAAAACAGACATGATGAATAAATTACCATCAACCAAATGAACACAACAATCAAATTTAAAATCTAGAATAAATAACCCAATTGAACCAATTAAAAAAGATGAATTTTCACCATTAATCAATAAAAATTATAATGAATCTGCAACAAAATTCAGTGAAACAAAAAAACCCAAAACTTACAGGACATGAGATAAGACAACCCAACCATGCATATGATCAGATAAACAATCCGCTTCTTGGCTTTCTCAGCCAGGTCCCGAACTGTCATAGCCGGCTTTTGGGTGCTCATTTCTAACCCCAAGATTCAATCTTTCACACCACAAAACTCATCAAACATACATAATAATCAATGTTCCTCCCTATAACCCTCAATTTTATAACCCATATGAAAAATAATTCAAAAAGAAACACTAAAATTCAGAAACCCATTTCCCAAAAAGAACTTATCAAACCCATCACCAAACTCAAGTAAGAACCAAAAATACTGTAACCCAAATCCAAGAGGAGAGAAACCCACAAAAATATCACGGATTGCAAATTTGTAAGTTGTTGTTTACCTCTAAATGGTTGCGATGTCGTCACAAGGGGAGAGAGGCGAAACAGGAGGGCGAGAGAAGAGAGTCAATGGTCGGTGGTTGAGAGAAGCAATGACAGCAAGAGGCAAGGAGAGGTGGTCGGTAGACGGTGAGTGGCGGTGTCGTCGTGAGAGGAGAGGGAGAGAGAGAAGAGTGTATGAAAGAGGGAGGATTTCTCTGAAATGAGAAAGAGGGAGGATTTGGGCAGAGATGAAAGAGGAGAGAGTTTGATGAGCGTGGGTCTCTCTTCTGTAGGGAGTGGATGGGTGTGTTTTGAAATTTGAAATTTGAAAAAGTGAGGTGCGACAAATGAGGATGGGTGGTTGCAAAGTTTAGGTGTGGTAGTAGGTGGTGGTAGGTGTAGGTAAATTCTAACAAAGGTTTTCATCTCTACCGTCCATCTTGAAGCATAAATGAATCATGACCGTTAAAATGTCCTAATAGGACAATTGTCTCTAGGATAAATTCAAAAACCCTCTTCCCTTATTATATGGATATATGGTTATGAAATTGAAGATTTTTCCGTATTATTGGAAACTAGATCCTCATATTGGTGCTTAAAAACAAAGAACATAAGGTATTCCAAACTAAAAGACAAATTTAGGAGTGTCCTTGTGTTGCTGCTAAGCGAAGCAAACAGCCCCCCCTTTTTTTTTGACAAAACAGGAGGAAATTGATTTTATAACTTCTTCCCTGTTTTATTTGCCTGTTTGTTTTCCAGGTTGCATCTTTCCCATTTGATGACCATAATTGCCCCCCGATTGAACTCATAACTCTGTTTTGTCAAAGTGCTTACACATGGCTAAAGGAGGACATTCTGAATGTTGTAGTTGTTCATTGTAAAGCCGGTATGGCAAGGACAGGATTAATGATCTCTAGCCTCCTCCTCTTTCTTAAGGTGAGATCTAGAAGTCAGAAGCATGAAGATGCTGTTCTTTGTGTTTAGATGGAAAATTGTTATTCGTAGTGGTTCTATGTGTCACCATTTTTATAACATTGTTATTACCCTGTTTTGCTTCCTTCTACAGTTCTTCCCAACAGCTGAGGAGTGCATTGAGTACTATAACCAGAAACGATGCCTAGATGGAAAGGGTCTAATTCTTCCAAGCCAAATTGTTAGTCAACTACTTTGATTGAATCTTGTAATTACATTACATTTCTTTAATTACTTCTCATATTTTTTTATTTTTCCAGAGATATGTAAAGTACTTTGAGCGCCTTTTAACATACTTCAATGGTGTAAATCAACCTGGACGTAGGTACTCTTCTAATAATCTTTCCCTAAATATGTCATTTTGATCTTTGAGAAGTACTAAAGTTACTCTTTGTAGGTGCATGCTTAGGGGATTTCGGCTCGTCAACTGCCCATACTGGATTAGGCCTTCCATCACTATAACTGATCATAACAGTAATCCATGACATCCCTTCCTACTCATTCTTTTCTTCCCAAGTGCCAATGACATTTGAATCTAAAGAAATAACTAGTCTTACATTTATTTTTTAGGTCCGTTATCAGTTGGCAAATTTCACTTTGGGTGCCTTTGTGTTGCTTTGGCTACAAGCCAACAAGTTGTCATAATTTATTCTGCAATTGTTGTTTATATATTTGTTTTCAAGAGCTTTTTACTACTGTTTTTTGCTCTCGTCTTTCTCTTGTCTTTCCCTAAGCACTTGATTTGTACGTAGTTATGTTCAAGCTTAGGGGGTGACATGGTAGATCAACATATGGAAACGAAGAAGAAGCTAGTTAAGATTCAAAACTCAACAGCGAGTCCAGTTATTTATTATTTATTTAATAAATAAATAAGGAACTGGAATTATTTTTTATTCAACTTAGAGTCCACACTGGGATTTAGGGAGAGATATTTTAGGCTAATGAATTAGAGACAGCTTTGAAACTAATGCACTTTTTTGTTGGCTAAGTCCTGAATGGCTGAGTTTGACTATTTATTGGGAACTTTTTGAAGCCTGGACCGTTTTATGTACCTACACTTTGCCATGTTTATTTTATACGTCACTTTTTCAAAGTTGTCTTGTGAATGCATGATTTATTGTTGTTAAGCCTGAAGGTGAGATGAGATTTATCTTTGAAATAAGAGTTTCATTGGCTTAAAATCTGAGTTTAGTTGTCATTCTAGTTTTGATGTGTTTGTTTGTTTCTCTTTTTGGATTTTTATTGAAAAGAAACTAAAAATAAACTAAAAGTCTACTTAAGAAATTTGATCTCTGATGTTACTGTTGAAAAGGCTATTCACAATATGCCATTTTTACTGTTTCACTTCTTCTTCTTCTTCTTCTTCTTTTCCTATGTGGCTATCTCATACATGCACATTTTCACTACTACACAGGAATTCTATTCTCAACGAAAAAACATCCAAAAACGAAGGATCTAATGGTAAATATTCTTTCAATTCCATTTTTTTTTCATAGTGAGTGAATATTTGGATTGATTTGTTAATATCTTTGTTGTAATGTATTATTTTGTTTGTTCATGTGTCCCAACTTATACATATGTTTAATTTTTGCAGCCGGAAGATTTTTGGATCCGTGCACCAAAAAAAGGGATTGTGGTCTTTGCTCTACCGGGGGAACCTGGTCTGACAGAGTTGAGTGGGGATTTCAAGCTCCATTTTCATGACCGCCAAGGAGATTTCTACTGGTCTCTAGACCTTCTTTCTTCTTTTGTTTCCGTTACTTGCATTCTTAACCGTAAATAGCATATAATTTCGATCCAGATATGCCTAGAATGCCAAGGAAAGATAAATCTTTAGGTTCATTTATCAACTTTGTCCACCAATGAATGAGTATGCAGATTTTCCCTAGTCATTTCAAGTGTCACTATGAATATCACTCTCTTTGTCAGGAGAAATTGATATGCAAACCATTAGGTTCCTTCCAAGGCCTCAATTTCTACTAGGAATGCTTGAGGCTTTAATCCTTTTTGCATATGTTATTTCCATGAATAGCTTGTCAATTTTACATTTCATTCATTCATTTTTTCTTCTTAATTTTTTTTTTTCAGTTGGTTGAATACAACAATGATGGAAAACAGAATTGTGATATACGATTTGGATCTTGATGGGTTTGACAAGGTAAATAGTGCACCCTTCATGTTGTGACACTTTTAGTTTATGATCCATTATGATATTTTCCACAGTATATCTGTGAAGTTTTTCTTCTTTATATGTATCGTTTAAATGTGAGAGAAGTAGACGTATTAACAGTAGATCTTTTCTCCCTCTTGTCACTTGCTTTTTAGCTTTTATTCACTCAGATCCGAGGTTCACTGACTGTGTTTTGCAGAGGAAAATTCCTTCCCCGGGATTCCAGCTTGAAATCGTGATGATAGACTACGACGGTTCTATTCCAATAAAGAAAAAAGCTGAACAGCCGAGCAAGGGATCTGACAGAAGAGTGGGAAATTCTCCTTTGTCAAGTGACAAAGTGGCCACTACTTCCGATCAAAGTAATGTTTCTGAAAACCAAGACAATGATGATGATGTATTCTCTGACAGTGATGGAGAGGAAACCGTGTCTTCAAAAAGTAGTCAAGCTCGAGCAGAATCTGGAGCTGGACCTCCTGCACATCTTGAATCTGGCCCAAGAGTGGATCATCAAATGATGGCTCTGTCACTCAGCAAGGAGTCCAGGCAGAGTAATGCGTCCAATGAAGCGAAAATTGATGGGGCTGGGAGATTGGAGTCAGGAAGGATGAGTGACGACATCAAGGCAATTGCAGCTGATGCTTCTGTTTTTACTTTTGGAGATGATGAAGATTTTGAAAGCGAGTGAAGTACCATTGAGATTCATCTAGTGAGTACATTTGTGTTCCAAACTCTTGTAGTTGAACCATCTGGAAACAATTTTTCACTTTTGTTTCTTTATTCTTTCTGCTTTAGGTGGGACAGTATTTTCATTGAATCTATTGAATTCGTTTATATTTTTTGGTCACATTGACTCTCTCCTTTGCAAGTTAGCATAGATCATAACAGTTTGACCCTGCACCCAACTATTTCACTGTATTAAAAATTTGTTCTGAAAGTTCTGTAGTGAAAACTCAGAGGCTTCTGCTACTTGTACTATTCTGTTAGGCTCAGTTAAGATGAAAATGGTATAAAGTGAAAGAAATGAAAAGGAAAAAAAAAAATTCTAAATTTGTTAAGTAGGAAAATGATGCAATTTGCAAGAAAATTAATTTTCTCATTCAACTCATAATAACATAGGAACTGAAAAAACACTGTTGTCATTACCGTTCAATCTTGCTGGAAGGCTAAGATCAACACGAAATGATGAATGACGCAAATTAAGGTCTCCAAATATTTATCCACTGGACTTATCGCATAACCATTTGTTAAAACACGAGCAGAACAATGGGCAATTAACCATGACTTGAACAAGCTGCCAGACAATTCTAGAAGTTTCCATAATCATCAAAATGATTAAACAGTACATTCCTAACACCAGAACTATCAGTTCATACTACTATTCTATACTAGACGGAATCCCCATAGTTCAAACAAATAGAGAGTTCATTACAAATAGAGAAGAAAACCAAAAAAAAAAAAAAAAAAAAAAATATGAAATAGTTAATGATGTACTTCATGGCAGAGTGTTAGTAGCAAAGACCTTTGGTTCCATCAGCACCAAAAATTCCAAACACAAGCAGTAAAGTTGTACCCAAAATGATGCCATGCCACCAATGCAAGCACATCCAACCACAACCACTACATTTTATCCCTCCGAATCTCATTTAAAATTCAGCAGCAGAGTCATAATCACCATCCCTGGGTTACTCTCCAGCCAAACTCACCTGCCAACAGCCAAAAATGCCAACAATTAAAAGGCACTCTTTTAAGCATCCAACACTGTAGAGAAAAGTCCTTGTTTCCTTGTAAGAGCAACTATGATCTTGTTCAAGTCAGAGATTTCCTCATCCCTCTGTCTCAGTTCTTGCTTCAGTCTTTCAATCTCCTTCAAGTGACCATCACAAAGGTTTGACCCTGCCTTAGTCTGCTCTCCAGCTTCCTGACCTGACTTCAACTTCTTGGACTCGCCTGTGGTGGTCTCCTCAACTTGGAATGATCTTTTCCTCGATGAAACTTGGCCAAGAAAACCCTCACTTGTCATTTTACGAACACAAAAGCTATCAATCGATCCAGAATCATATTGGAATGAAACGCATTTATGTGGTAGTCCATACGAGTCCTAACACAAGGCATCAACAAAATTCAAAATTTAATTCCTATGCATGAGATAGTTTCAATGGAAGACTATCAACAAAAATCACAGGAAAATGTTGTATAAAGATGGCACTAATGAATTACAGACCAAAGGCACTTGTCACAGGAGTATTAGGTTTTCACACCTAAACAAAGAAGAATACCTTTGTGTTAGAGATGAGATGAAGTTTTAACTCTAAACTAGCAAAGCTATGTTACATCAGGGTTAGCTTCAGTTGTTGCTTTCAAGGGAAAGTAAGGATATACATATAGCTACATACACGGGCCACCTTTTCCAGATAGTAGAAGTTGTGCAAGATATAGAGAAATTCTCATCCGGGAAATACCTTTTCTCGGTATCCATCGATATTTTCAAATGCTTGATCTGCCTCTTCTTCATTCTTAAAATTGGCAAAGGCAAAATACTTCTTTCCTCCAGCCTTTTTGTTGGGCTGCCACCAAATCATTCACCACGTCAGCCTTTCAATAATGAACAGGGAAAAAAAGAGCCTACAATATACTTAAATTTTAATATTAAGAGAGAGAGAGAGAGAGAGTAAGTGTGTGTGTGTGTGTGTGTGTGTGTGTCATTGTGTTGCATACATTACCTTATGCTGTCATAAGTTCATAACATCATTAAAAGCACTTAATTGGATGTTTATCCAAAAACAAAATTGACCTTTCCCTTCAAGCTCAATATTCACATTTTGCATAAGCAATTACCTTATGAAACCTTTCATGATGTATAGAACAAATATTATTGTTCGTCTACATTAAGTTATGGTCAGTGCAAAAGTTGCTGGCCCACCATCTATTTTTTCAAATATTTGTAGGATATGGGCCACCCTTCGGGCAAGAAAGATCTCATCCTTGAGAATTATTCTTACATTGTCAATTTCTTGTCAGTTCACATAATGATGCAGCAAAAAAATTAAATCAAATTAAGAGCTTTTAACAACTGTATGCTCAAGTGTGATTTGGTCTCTCAAAAGATCAATTTGAGCAAATTGTCCCTGGAAAATGTTCAAGGTGCAATTGACCCCCTAAATGATTAATTGAAGCAAATTGCCACTAAATTTAAATCAACTGTAGTAATGTCCCCCTAACTAAGGGAAGTTTTAGAGGGCCAATTGTAGTTTTAAACATTTTCAAAGAACAAATTGTTCAAATAAATATTTTAGGGGGACAGCTACACTTTTGAGCATCTTTTTGGGGGCAAACTGTCAAAACCCCTAAACATTAAATGAAAATCTTTAAGTAGTTCAATGTAGCTGTTTGGTACAGCTTAAAACAGGTAACTTTTAGCTTAAATTATTCTTGCATGTTTGCTCCAA